TCTAAATAAATCAAATAAATAAACAAATAAAGAAACAAATAAATAAATAAATAAAATAATTTTCTGAGCACCTACGGTAGGCTGGATGAAGCAGCAATCGCAGCCAAGAAACACCCAGGGCACACCCTCATAGGCTCACACCTCTAGTCGGGAGACGGACACTGGGCCCGGGGGGTTACGGCATGGGGTGGGCAAAGCTGTGGTGAGGAAGTGATGTCAGAGCCCAGAAGAGGTGCCTGACCTGGCCTGGGGAAGTCACTGAAGGGCAAATGGGAGTGGGCCAGGTGCATCTGCAGGAAGTGCCTGTGAGGACTTTCTTCTGAGGGTAATAGGGAGTCATGGGAGGGTTTAGAGCAAAGGTTGACCCATGGGCCAAATCTGACCTGTCACTTGCTTTGGGTTTTTTTCTTTTCTTTCTTTCCTTTTTTTTTTTTTTTGAGATGGAGTCTTGCTCTGTTACCCAGACTGGAGTGCAGTGGCACGATCTCAGCTTACTGCAAGCTCCGCCTCCTGGCTTCACGCCATTCTCCTGCCTCAGCCTCCCGAGTAGCTGGGACTACAGGCCCCCGCCACCATGCCCGGCTAATTTTTTTATATTATTAGTACAGATGGGGTTTCACCATGTTGGCCAGGATGGTCTCGATCTCCTGACCTCGTGATCCGCCCAGAGGTCCAGTCAGGAGGGTCGCAGGACCCCCGCAGAGCCCCCACTCACCAGCAGGGGCAGCCAACACACGCTGGCCACCAGCATGATGCCCAGGAGCTGAGCCATCATCTCCACCTCGGAGTCCCGGGGACGCTGCTGGGCCGCCTCCTGCCCGTGGTAGACGTGGCACAGGGTGGCCACGCTGACGGTGTTCAGCAGGAAGGACAGCCCAACCGAGAGGCCGCCCAGCATGGAAAAGAGCAGCCCAAAGGCCACGTCCCCAGACTCGGTGCCCAGCGTCAGGAAGCACCAGGACCCCGGGTATTGCACGGTGTAGCGACCCAGGCCCAGCAGGGGCAGCAGGCCCAGCGCCAGCGCGGCCGCCCACACCAGCCCCACGGTGGCCCAGGCGCGGCGCTGCGAGGTGACCGCCGGGCGCGAGAAGGGCCGGGTGATGCCTAGGAAACGCTCCGAGGCCATGGTGGCCCCCAGCAGCAGCGGGGACAGGCCGAAGAAGATCATGACGACGCCCATGAAGCGGCAGAGACGGCAGCCGGGGTCCACGGCGTGCCACTCGAAGAGCGCGGCGTGCTGGGACACCACGATGGCACCGGTCACCAGCAGCCCCAGGAAGTCGGTGAGGACGAGGCCGCAGAGGAAGGTGAGGAAGGAGGAGCGCGTGTGCGAACCCCCCTGCCGCGCCCCCGCCAGCACGCTCAGGGCCAGCAGGTTGGAGGCCAGGCCCACCACGCAAAAGGAGGCGGCGAACCAGGGCGAGGCGATCAACCGCCTCTCCTCCAGGGTAATGTTTGTGGGCCGGAAACAGGGCCCCAGGGAACTGCCGTTGGGCCACATGGCTCCGGAGCCTGCGGGATCGGTCACCACCCCATCAGGCTGGTGCTGCAGACAGGGCAGGCTGGCACTGGTTCAGGCACACCTGGGAGGCGAGAGAAGATTTGCTTGTGATTAATTCTGCATTTCAGTGTAAGTAGCTCTGGTGAACTTCTACACAACCTGCAATGCCCCAGCTCAAATATCCTC